CTTATATTAGCTTCTTCTAGTGGCATGTTTAAAAAGCATAAATTGCCGTCTTCGTCATAATATTCTTTTCTTAATTCGTCATCAATCGTTATGCCAATTTTGCGGTAACCATTAATCGGTTTTATTGTCATAATTGTATTTTTTATCACTCGCTTTGAGCATAAAACTTTATGTTCAGCCAAATCTTTATTATCATCGGGCAAATTATACCACGCTAATTTATTTTCTGACAAAGCCGTCAATTCGAAATTATCGTTTCTTTTTATAATATAAAAAAATAACTTATCTGAAGACATCTTCTCTTTCTTTCTTTCTTTCTCTTCTTTTTTTTTTTTTTTTGGAATATAACTTGTAATTGATTTGTAAGATTGTTTCTAAATAAAACCTGATTTATTAATCTGTAAAACAGTTTATTCAAACAAATTAAATGTCATATAATCAAATAATATAAAATAATACAGAGATATAAATTAAAGAAAACATACCTGTAAAACAGTAATCAATTACAGGCTTATTCATACGAAACTCATAAATCAAATAAATTATAAAATATGTCAATCACGTGGTGCAGCACATTTATCGCAGCACATTTATCGAAGCACATTTATCGAAACCCAAACAAAGATCAAACATATAACAAAGATATTGAATATCATAGATATGAAATAAATACATAAATGTGGTTACATTTACATATATATATATATATGTTGGTAATACATATATATATATATATATATTTACAATATTCTATAAATTCTACCGAATGTTTGGCGTTAATGTTTGTAGTTCGTTTTTTCGAAAAAACGAAAAATCTATAGAATTTTTACAATATTCTATAAATTCTACCGAATGTTTGGTTCTATAAATTCAACCGAATGTTTGGTTCTATAAATTCTACCGAATGTTTAGTTCTATAAATTCTACTGAATGTTTGTTTCTATAAATTCTACCGAATGTTTGGTTCTATAAATTCTACCGAATGTTTGGTTCCATAAATTCTACCGAATGTTTGGCATTAACGCCAAACATTTGGTAGGAATTTATAGAACATTGTAAAAATTATGGTCTTTCACCAACATGGTCTTGTATATATATATATATTGTCGGAAATTTTAAAATAAATGATAAGGAGATTTTCAAATTATGACTAAGCCCCACGTTGGGCGTTAATTGTCGGAAAATTTATAAATGAAAACAATTAAAACAACTGGTGGTGTGAGATAATCTCCTCCTCTATCTTTCTCAGGGAATTTTTTTATGGTCCGACAATAATTTTTGTGTATATTTTTAACGTGAGTTCGACCAGTCCTGTGTGGCACTGGGCTTTTTCGAATTATATGATTTTACTGAGTAACACACGAACGCGTAAAGAAAAATATTCGATAACAATTTTATTAATCGACGGAAGTAAATAAAAAGGAATTGAACTAATGAACTTTATAATAATGTAAATGTCAATGAACAAACTGGAATACAGGAATTAGAACTTCTTCTTGTTGGGTCTTCGACTTGGGATATGTTTCTTGGCGTTTAATCGTACAACCTCGACGTGTGTAACCGATAGTGATGTCGATACAACTCCAAGAAATAAATGAAATGAATGTGGAAAAATTACAAAAATCGGAGCCTATGGAAATTGCAAGCTGCGTGTGAAACTATACCAATGAGTATAGAATCCAGCAAAGAACCCTAGGTCCACAAATAGCACAAGAAACAAAACAACGAGGCGGATTCGTTTTCACAGAACCCAAGGCCTGTTTTCACTGGGCCTGTCTGTCAGTCGGTCGGCTTTCGCACAACCCTGGCCTGTTTTCACTGGGCCGTCAAGTCTGATCGGCTTTCGCACGACCAAGGGCCTGTTTTCACTGGGCCTGTCTGTCAGTCGGTCGGCTTTCGCACAACCCTGGCCTGTTTTCACTGGGCCGTCGAGTCTGATCGGCTTTCGCACGACCAACACAAAACAACAAGAGTCAGAACAACACTGGAAACAAATTGTGTAACTTTAGTACGCGTGCGAAACTATGCCAATGAGCATAGAGTCTCGTACCAAATCCACTTTTGAGAACTTAAGACGTTTCTGAAACTATGCCAATGAGCATAGAATCACGCATTAAGTCTCTTAGATACCAGAATAGGCACTGATTACTCGAGGCTCTCTAACTAGTGAACCCAAGGCTGACTCTTTTTGAGAACTTAAGACGTTTCTGAAACTATGCCAATGAGGATAGAATCACGTATTAAGTCTCTTAGGGACCAGAATAGGCACTGATTATTCGAAGCTGCCTCACTAGTCAGCCCAGTCTCCCAGTCTTTTCACACCCTTCCTTATCAAAGCAAAATTAGATTTTGTTTCGGGTGTTTTAAAAACATAAAAATTTCCAAGGTATGTCCCATTAATAAAAAAAACTACTAATTAAATTTTAAAATAATTTTTAATAATTTATGACGTCATCTAAATTGCAAAACAAAAAAAATCGTCGTCACCTATCGAGTAAATTAACTTGCACCATGCCCCCTATCGAGTGAATAAATTTCGCGTTGAAAATTTTGCAGTATTTTTAGTCAGTGTTATTTCATAATTCTGACAATATATATATATATATATATATATATATATATATATATATATATATATATATATATGCATAATGTCTACGGGACTAGTAGCATTCAAAAGTTTCTTATTACTTTCAATACTTCTTATTAATATTCTATTTTGTTTTAAATTTTGGGAAAACGACGCTGGTTTATTACTATTTATTAGCAGGCCTATTTCCATAAATGTTTTATCGGCATCAGTGCCAATTAATTTTTTTATTGTAGAAAGTTAAATAAATTTGAATGTACAACAAATTTAAAAAACATTTATGAACAAATTTGAATATTAAATATAGTTTGGTAAGTTTTAAATCGACCACTAGTTGTTATGTTGTCATGGCGACTTGCATTAATTTGAGGCGAGAAATTTGGTCTCTTATTTATTTAACGTTTATGTAATACATAATGTAATATATTTATCGATTGTTCAAACTCAAGCTGCTTTTGAACACAAATAGTTTATTTTACTTTACTATGTTGCTTCTCTGGAGTCAGGATTCACCGAGGTACGTGTCAGGGCCACAAGTGAAATAATTATCGACAATGTACATTTTTCGCATCTATCGTCATTTAAAATTTCTAAGAAGTATGCACTGATGTGGCGCAATTTTTTAGCCCAACCGGTAAACTTTAAAAACAAATTGATAGTTGTCGGCTTGTCGCTTCACAATGGGCATACTGTTTTTTCATATTTTCTATCGAGTGTCTCAACCTTGCTTGAATCACAGAAATTTCCTGCCTGTAGCAAAAACTTCCCTGAATCCTGACTTCACGTTCATCATTCTTATCTTGCTATCATTTTTTGCCCGCTGAGATTAACAATAATTTTGTTTTTTATTTGGAAATTTCTATTTGAAAACGTTATTTTTCAGTCAAAGTAATGAAGGCAAGTTATTTCTATTCTGGAATAAAATACTTGAATTGTGTACGCGACAACTACGAAACAACAACAAATCGTTAGTTACTTCAACTCTAGTGCAAACGACAGGATGCCTAATCACGCTGGGAGAAGACAAATCTGGCCTTGGATTGTTCGGAGTAATTGGATTGGGAAAAAAGTCAAATTTTTCTTTAAGGTTGAAAAAAAAATTTTGTCACGATTTGAAATTAAAACTTTTGTGTTGTTTTTTTATGTAAAATAATGATTGTACATTATTATTATTATTTTCTATTATTATTATTATTATTATTATTATTACAATTATTATCGTGGTTGTTTTTACGACGTATTGAAAAACAACTTTTTTAATGAACGTATTACTCAACAACTCTCAAAATTATAATTTTATAAATTATATGTTTGAAAACTCTGAGATATACTGAAAGAAAATCTTTTTTCTTTACCAACCATTGGTGGGTGAAAACAAAATCACTTCAGCTGGTTGCTGTTGTTGAATGTTCATTCTAACTCTAACTGACTTTATTCAGTTTTGTTGAAAGCAGTAGACGCAACCAAGTCGCAACGTTAATTGTTGATTTCACACGTATAAAATGTATAAAAATATAAAATTATGATTTCACATGTCGCAATACATGTTTTTATTCTTTAAAAAATCAGATGTAGACGCAGAATCTGTTACAACATGTCAGACAATGTTATAAATCTGAGAAAAATAAACAACGTATTAAAAACTGACTCAGTGGGCTTATGGAGCCAGTGCCCATGGGCTTTTCAGATCAGGAACACCATAAGAGAGTTACCCCAAAACATTTTATAATGTCTTTGTACATTTATAAAGGAATTTATTTTTATATTATAGGGTCCCTTCATCTTATAGATCACTTGTTATATAATTTAACCTCAAGGATTTTTGTGTTTTTGGTTGCAAGCCATACTTTTGGAGCCTCTAACCACGGAGAAACTTCAGATTATTAAAAGTCTCAAAAACAATGGGAATATATTTCTATAGGGCCATGATTATGAATGTTATTAAGAGCTTTAAAATGTGCCTGGTTCCACTTTGCAGTGCCGTTTCGAATGAATAGATTTCTCCACCTAACATTCGCGATTTGTTAGAAGCGTCGTTTTCTCGTCTATTCACGTACGCTGTGTGTGTCGTTGATATTTCTGGAGCAAGTGCGGTAAGATTAAGTGAAGTTTTTGCACAATTTTGACATGAGATGGTCTTCATTGCATAAATCTGGCACACACTTCTACAAAATGTTTATATAGCATTTAAACTTGTTTTATGGCTCCTAACGCAAACAGTTAAGGAAAATATTCATTCTCCAAATGGCGCTCGTTAGGAATGAACTAAGGATTCGAATTCGCCAAAATAGACTGAACCCACTTTCACTTCTGGCTATCTAACCCATTTACGCCGCTACATGAAATCAGTGTGAGAGAAACATATTAAAATTAGGACAATAATGTCGACAGGATTCAGTATATTTTAAATTTTTGATATAATGTTCAGAATATTAACAGTGTAGATACAAAATTAATTGTCTTCTTTGTTTGTCACTTGTGGTATATTGTGAAACATTTAGCATGGATGCCCACCATACTTTTGCCGCAAATTTAACATGTCGAACTTTTTAACTATATATTTTAAAATATATGAGCCTGCGTCTTTTGGGATGTTTCAAAATGTAATGATTCGACATCACTCTAGGATCTGATAATTTTTTCATGGATGATGGAAATCCGCATAAAATTTTATTGGACTAGCAATCGTCGTCAGGAGCTTTAGTGGATAAAAGCTTAATGGCAACCCGGCGACGAAATTCTAATAAATCAATTTAGCTGCCATTTACAAGTCGATAAACTTTTCATGCTCTGCAAAGAGCATTTTCAACAAAAATTTACAAAATAAAGCCACCACCATTATTTCCTTGATTCCTATTCTATATTTTACAGCAAAATTATCTAACAGATCTACTCCACCCATATTAGCATTGTAGGATGCATTGAGACTTGGTTGTTGAATCAGGATAGATTTTCTTTCAGATCATGAAAACTTTTTTGCTGTCAGGAGAGGCTCAACTGATTGAAAATTGCTTGTTAGGCTTACTACAGAATTGTCATTCCATTTGACAGCCAGAATTTCGTTTTCTATGTCAAAACAACTGTCAAAAGCTTCTATCTCTTTCTTTTGAAGCTACTTGGTGTCTTCTAATATTGAGCCAATTAATCGAGATTCACGTACAGCATAGGGGATAGAATGGAAAAGGTGTCCATCAGAAGAACAAAGACACCACATTTTAAACCCAAAGCGAACAGGTTTGCCGTTCATAAACATTTTACATGAATGCCTCCCAAAATATGGGATCATCTGTTTATCAATACTGAGATTGTGGGAGAAGACACCAAATTTTAGAAAATTTGCATTCAATAAGTTAACATATTGACGGATTTTATAAACCTTATCATGAAATCGAAATTTTTATTGTCACCTAAATGAAAGTTTTGCTTGATATTTCTAAAATGTTGACGACTTAAGGCATTAGTTACTATTTTGATGTTGCAGTCTTATGATAGCCAGTAAAAAGGAGAAATTCAATAAAACGTTGTGATTGATAAGATTTCAGTTCAAATCCATGTCTATTTTTTGTTGAGCATATATTTGACTTTGATCAATAATAAGAGCAATACCATCGACAAATTCTTGAAAAAAATTTTTCTACTTTGTCGACTAAACATCTTATTTATTATTATTATTATTCTTTATAAATCAGGATCTGACAGACTCAGAAACTGTTACAGCATGCAACGCAGTAGTACAAAATTAAACAAATAAGTAAATAAATAAAAAAAAACGGAGAAAGAAAAAATGTTTAAACATAAAAAATAAAATAGAATAGAATAAGATAAATAATAAATGATAATAATAAAATAAATAAAAGAAAAGAAAATAAATTGACAATAAAATGAAGTAATGGCATAAAAAAAGGAAATTAATATGCCAGATGATGACTTAGTGAGTTAGTGAGGTGATCAATAAATAAAAACCAGGCATTACTACACGGGGAGAGGATCATAGCTATTTGCTTTTCCTTCTGTTAATTTCTACCTTTAATGTATTTTTCTATTTTCCAACTTTGTTTGCTTCTATTATCCAACTTTGTTTGCTCTTTGTCTTTCTATCGTACGTAGATTTCGGAGAACCTCAAACGAAAATGAATCGATCGCATCCCAAGCAATTTTAGATGTGAGCATTGCCTTTACTATGTTTTCTGGCCGGAGTTTCTGTTTGAGAACAGTTTCCAGATTACTCTTGGACCCATTGAAACGTGGGCATTCAAAAAATACATGTTCTGCATTTTCATTAATTTCCGGACAAGAAGGGCACTTCGACGAATCATCATGCCCAAAACGATAAAGACATGCTCGGAAGCATCCATGACCAGAGAGCATTTGCGTCAAGTAGTAATTTACCTCACCATGATTAGGGTTCACCCAGATACTTATTTGTGGTATAAGTCGATATGTCCATCTACCAGCTGTTGATTAGTTCCACTGCATTTGCCTTCGATGCACGCTATGTAGTCGTTCTTCCATTTTGAGTTTTTCTGTGCTCAGTGCCGTGGTTTTTTCGCTGGTAAAAAACCTTTCTTTCTTCAGCGAGTTTTTTAATAGGCAATTACCTTCCATAGAAGAGGCCCCAGAACGGAACCTTGTGGTACCCCTCCCGTTATGTTGTATTCTTTTGGTCCTGCATTTGTATCATATTTTAATTTTCTCTGTGAGAAATAGCTTACTACCATTTTCTGTAAATATACTGGTACGTTTAACTCATCAAGGGTACGCAGGACGCAATTCCAGTTGGCAGAGTTGAAAGCATTTTTGATGTCCAAGGTAGCCACCAAACAGTTCTTCATTTTTCCTTCTTTCCATCTTTTTCCTGCAATAGCATCTCTGGCTTTATTAACAACAAGATTCACTGCATCAAGCGATGATCGACCTTTTCGGAAACCGAATTGATTGTCCGTAAGCTGCGGATCCACAACTTCTTCAATCCTCTGATGAATAATTCTTTCCAATATTTTACCAGCCGTATCTAACATACATAGCGGTCGATAAGATGATGGCTCTTCCGGAGGTTTCTTTCCCTTAGGAATAAGCACTAGTCTCTGCTGCTTCCATCTAGTAGGAAATACACCTTCTCTAAGACATGAATTGTACACCTCCAGAAACAGTTTCGGTGCCTTTTTGATGGCTGTTTTTAAAACAATGTTTGGAATTCCGTCTAAGCCTGTAGCTTTGTTATTTCCTACTCTATCACTAGCTTCCATGACGATCATTAAACTGATCGTCTAATTTGGCGCAAAAAGTTGATGGCAAAGAAAACAACGTCCTACCTCGGGGAACCGGGACTTTGGACGCAAAACGAAGATTGATTGATTAGCTTCCATGAGTTGGCGTTTTGTGATAGGCCGGATGTCATTAATTTCACAACATTTTCTTCTGTAATAGTGGCTGTTTTGTTGTGGGAATAAAGTAGTAACTATTTTGTTCAAGAGCTGGGGGCAAGTGGGCGATGGTATTGGCCGGTTTTTCAAATGGAACATGACAGCTCTGTAAGGCCGACCCCACGGATTTTTTTCAACTTCATTAGTAAGATTTACCCAACATTGTTTTTTACTATTTTTAATTGCTTTGTTGAGTTTTAAACGAGCTTTTTTGTATTCTGGTTTCAGTTCCTTATAATTAGGTTTTTTCCATGAGTGTTGTGATGCTCTTCTCGCTTTTAGGCATTCTTTTCGAAAGGTGCTAATGTTTTCACTCTACCAATGAACCGATAAGCGCTTCTTCATATAATGTTTTTGAGGCATGCTCGCATCGCATGCTTTTTATAATTCTTCTTCTTATCAAATCTTCTGCTTTCTTTTCAGCATTCTGTACGACAATTGGTTCACGATTCAAAACCACCATAAAAGCAATTGGGTCAAAAAATTTTACTTTCCATCCATTATCATTTATCCGCATCTAGGATTTTTTAAAGTTGGAATCAGCGTATACTTCCGAAAACAGTGCGCAGGGGTCGCTTGCAGTGTAAACATCCAAGACTTCCCAGGAGTAGTTTCCTTTAACAAGGCAACTACTAACAAAGGAAAGGTCTACCACTGAATTTGCTTCTCCTCTGATGAAAGTATGTTTATCTCCGTTATTCAACAGAACTACATTCAATGTAGCCATCGCTTCTAACAGTGCGTTCCCTCTTGCAATTTGTTTCTTTGCTACCCCAATCTACCGCCCAAGCATTGAAGTCTCCGGCTATAGCAACGGGGGAGTATTGATTTGCATCTTGAGCTAGCCGATCAAGAAAGTCCACAAATTCTTCAAATGAAAGACTGGGTGAAGCGTAACAGCTATAGAAGTAGACATTTCCAACTTTTGCTGTAGCAAAACCTGCTTTAATGTTTTTAATTACTTTCTGAAAAGGAAGTTTGCCACAGGACCAGATGACTGCTTTTCCACTGCTATCCATTTCCCACGGTTGCGTATCTATATGCTTATAAGGCTCCGAAATTATTGCTAGATCCACCTTCAATTCACGCACAGTCTGCATGAGCAAATCATGCGCGGCCTCACAGTGGTTAAGATTTAGTTGCAATATCTTCTTGTTTTAGTCTTTTTCCTTTAGTCAATTGAAGTGCTTTTTTTATAAACTGGGCATCTACTAGAACCACTAACGTGAACACTACTTCCGGAAAGACTATTTTCATCACATAATGCGCATCGTGCTTCATTTTTACAATCTGCAACTTTGTGCCCTTCTTTACCACATTTAATGCAAGGTTTGGATCGATCCACAGAACTTTTGCATTGCGTTGCCAGATGTCCATAATGCCAGCACTTATAACATTTGATTGGCTTCTTCACTGACATAGAAGAAACATACATACATACATCAGAGCATCTGGTCTATGTTTTTGCATTTTTGGTTTCGACTTAGCAAAGGCTGGTTTAGAAGCTGTTCTTGGCATTCATTCTGCTTGTCTTTCTTTTTTTGCACCAGTTTCCATTCATTGCTAGAACGTTGTTCTACTATCTCACTAGGAGAAAATTTTATTAGTCCTTTTTTTCTTTTGTTTAATTTGCTCCCACTTTCTGGAGGTGTTCGGTCTTTTCGCTTGACAGAACTAGCGTCAACAGCCGATTCACTGTCTGCATCAGCTCCTGTATCTATTGCTGATGATTCATCTTGGTTCCGCACCCTTGATGTTGGTGGAAAGAACACTGCACTCGGCAATAGATTTTGAATCGTTTGCGTCTTTCTGCTCAATTCCAACGCTTTCAATTTTATAAAGGCATTGCCAATATTAGTCGCCCTGCTTTTAATCTCTTTATGAACATTTGATTTTAGTTTAACAAAATCCAATAGCCCATCAATAAGCTGGCTTAATTGTTCCCAGTTATTTATTCGCTTCATTTCAGCATTTGTGTCTAGTGCTTCTTGTTGAGCGTGATCCCTGTTCTCAATGATGTGTGTGTGGGTGTGTGTGTTTGTGTGTGTGTTGCTTATCGCAATATCTCAATAATGTTTTGTGTTTAAAAGTAAATTTTAAATGGATATGTTGTAAAGTGCCAGGCGTTAAATGGATCTTTCGTTGCAGAGCGTAAATAAATTTCAGCTTATTACAAAAAATGAATGCCGCATTGAATCAATATAATATTATATTTTATTTTATTCTACAGAGTTTTATTTTTTAACAATATTATAATTTTATTTTACAGAGTTTGAATTTGTTATTTTATCAGTGAATTATTATTGTTCGTGGAAAATGGATTACGTCGTGGATAATGCTGTTATTAATAAATAATTCATTTAGATTTCGAGTTGTTGCCAATGCCATGGCAGCCTTCATAGCCAGCATGTTGTGCAGGGACGCCAGCTTGCAACAATCCACAACAAGCCAAGCAGCTAGCCAATTGAACCAGCAAACAACTACGAGATTGAAAAACATGTTAGCCGACAAACAATATATTAATTACAAACAACAAATACAGCTCGCCTGTCAATTCATTGTTGATAACCACCTGTCTATTTTTGATTTCAAATATGTTTTTTGGAGTGTGGTTAAACCCTTGTTTTCAGACATCTATTATTTAGGAGTATTAAAATGTGAAATGTGATCTAAACAATCTTGCAAATCAGCATTTTTTACGTGATCGTGTACTTTCTGTTTGTTGCTTTATTTATTTTTCATCGATTTACAGTTCTTCAAAAAATGTTCATTGAGACAATAAACAAATTTAAAAATTTTTTCATTTTACATCTCTCTTGGTAATATAGGGGCGTCGTCTCACGATTTATTGATATTATTAAATATTCCGCCCAGTCAGGTTTAAATGCATGCAAAACCTACCAAGGTTGAGAAACACATGAGGCAAAGATTAGGGATGAAATTTAGCAACTGATTTTGGTTTGATCAAAAATGTACAGAACACAGGCTATGTATAAGTGTTACAGTGTAAATGTATAGAACACAGGCTTTGTATATATTACAATACTTAGTATTAAGTAGTTCTTATTAAATTTCAAAAACATAGCCGGAGGTGGTGATGAGGTTAAGCTCTCATCACAATTAAAACACCTCCATGGCGTGCGTCTCAAATAGCTTCTGACAGTCAGAATCCAACTCCTGGCCTTCTCGTGGCGAAACTGTTTAAACTAACGAGAGAAGGGGCGAAGGGGGGTAACTAGCGCATCAAAACTAGTCGCTTCGGGTTGATGGGGCTCGTTACCCACCCATCTAGGAAAAGGTAAACTCTGATTTCAAACCTCTACTGCCTTGTGGCTACAGCCTTTCTAGGGAAAGGCTAAGAAAGTAAACCCTAACCGAAAATGAGGCGTGGTAGTGCGTCTTCAAGACAATTTGGTTGCTTTAACCACTACTCGGCTTGCTACCTACCCTCGTTTGTCTGGCGAACAACTACAGCCAAAGTATTGTCCACGCCAACTAATGAAGCGACAGCTGATACCAAAGATCTCTTTTACAGCGCACTGGAGGACTTGTTTCGCTTCACCAGGCCCACCGACCTCATCATTTGCCTGAGCGACTTTAACGCGGTAACAGGTGTTGACCGCCGTATGCCTGCGGTAGTTGGCCCATTTGGTAACGGGTCACCAAGTTGTGTTTGATCAGAGGGGCGATGATCCCGGTGGTTCAAGATTTATAGTGGCGTCAGACAGTGGTGTATACTGCGCCGGATGAGTTCTGGCCCCGATGGATTGGATCATGGAGCGTTCCGTACACAAAGATATGCTTGGCGCCACAATCGGCAGGAAGGTGTTCACGGACCTGGACTAATAATAAATAATAAAGTTCTTAATACAAAATGTATTTCAAAAATTATTTTCTTAAACAATTTTTCCATACCTATATAGATTATTTTTGGAAAAACTTAATCAACATGAGTGTTGGACAAAAGCGGTTGAGTGGTCCTGCTGCAGAAAAGAAGCACAAAAAAGTAGAAAAAAACGTGAAGCAGTAGAAAAGATCGCCAAGATTTTTAGTTTTTTTTAAACAAGAATGATCCAAGTGATATCGCAAGTTGACTTGATGAAACTCAAACTGACCTTGAATCAATCTGTGCTTTGACTGCTATACACATTTGAGTGGCAGTTTAAGGTGGTGAAATACTGGTCTTATTCCAGTTCCAAAGTTCAGGTTATGTTTCATGTTAATTTAATCCAGATGTGGAAGACTTTGGTAGTCTGACTGCATAAATTTTTTAATATTTTATTCTGGTCAGCCCTGTAACATTTATTTTCTATTAAATTTTTGTTACTAAATAAAATTTAGTTTCGGGGTGTCAATGAATTTACTCGTGAATATGCAACAAAGCAAGAGATAAATTGAAAAGACATATCGAGAGGCCACATCGCTACTTATCTCAATCATTGTTTAAAACACAGAGGATATATCGCCCATCATTTCTTTATGTTATGTTATGTTATATCGCCAAGAAATAACACGAACACGACATTATCTATTCTGAGGCCTAAAAACTGTTGTATTCATCGTCAGCTAATCACAACAAAATTATCAATGGAAGGACTTGATGATTGTTTGTCAATAGATCAGGATTAAAAGACGAGAACTTAGACTACGGATAAACAAAGTTTCATTGTTTCGTTCATTTTTTGAAGCATGAATTGTGGTGTGAAACTGAGTAGCTGCAAAGCTTGATGACTAGAGTTATGTCAGCGGGAGGCGTTATCATCTTCAAATTGTATTCCAATTCAGGCTGCGGAGGCGTAGTCAAGGAGGAAGCTTTAGAGCTGAAGCTCACAAACAACAGTAGACATTTTTGTTGAGGTTAAGGTTAAATTTAACAAAATATCTATGCAAACTTAATGAATTCTGGTTTCAAATGGTGGTGCCACCCTTTAAAAACAGTATTGTCTTGCAAACATCAAAAGAAAAAGAAAAGTTAGGGTATAGAAATCATAAAAAAACGTGGAATAAGCGAAAAAAAGTCGTCAAATTTTTATAAGAAAAATGTTTAAAAAAATTCAAAATCTCACAAAAAATTTCTGACTGCAACACTGCCAGGCCGGATTGAAATTACAATAACTGAGCTCAAAGTTAAATACTTTAAAAATTAAGAAAATTGGTAACTGCTGAATAACAATTTAAAGTCAGTGCAAAACTTTGAAACCATCATAAAATAATGGAATATAAAAATAATCGAAGGTACAAAATGCATATGAACATAAACGTCATGACAACATCTTAAGAAATTGAATAAAACCATCATGCAATGAAATTTCAGCTTGCTTATTTTAAAAGGCTGTGGGGGTTTTCCTAAGTTTGCATAATACAAATAACATTTCGAAATTATTTTTTGGTGCATTTAATATGAATGATGCATTATGAAAGTATCAACAAAGGCTCTAAATTTAAAAAATGATCGAAAATTTGAACAATTTTCAATCGTAAATTTATTTCTTTTTAGCGGTATGGCAACTTCAAGTTTCTTACTTTTTTCTTAATTACTGCGGTATCTTGTTATTTGCTTTTGAACTAGTAGAAAAATTCTCTTCCTTTTTTACTGAAATTATTTTTTTCTTATATCTAATACTAATTATCATGTCTTATCCAATAGATTTTCTTTTAAGCTTGCCTAACACTTCTGTCTCTGATATCACCTGATATATCACCTCTATATCTGATATCTGATATATCACCTCTATATCTGATATCTATGATATTATGTAGTCGAACTCTCAAAAATCGACGACAAAATTCTGGCCTGTTGAACAAAAACCTCACGAAACAATTGAATCCACGCGTAACGAACCACATCGATGTTTTTGAGAACGATGTTTCACTCCTACGTAGACATCGCTCACTTGTAACATTATACCAATAAATAAAACTTAATAAAACGTTATGAAAATATATATCTTTAAATTTGTAAATGCTGTAAAAGAAAATTCAATTTCTTCTCAGACCTAAGCTGTGTACCTAGGTTGTTTCGCCATGTACCGCGAACTAAGCAATTTATACTGTACGCAGCGGTAATTACTATCGAATTAGCAATAAAAACATGTCGAGGTACCTTATTACTTTATTAAAATACGATGTTTGTGCGTGTTGTTGATTTCTCTGAACCTAGGAAGAGTGTAGTAGACTTTTAACCTTTTAAAGAAGCGTGGTGACCTGACAAAAGAATTTTTTTGGTCTCTTAACCATATTTTAGATCAAATAAAATTTGATCTTTAAACGATGTTCCATCAAATAAATCCATTAGAATTAAATATCATATAATTTTTAATTTGCTTTTAATCCAACGATCAAAAATTAGAAAAAACACAGAAGGCAGGTTTGATAAATATTGACCTAATTAATATAGATACAAATGGATCTAAAATATAGAAATTATAGAGAATCATACTAACAAATATTTATTGTTGTTTTGTCTGTAATTAATGATAATTTCGTAAATGATGTAGTTGTTAATGGAAAAAAATAGTAGTCCTGCCATCCAAACATAGAGGAAAGTGTTCAAGCTTTGAAATTCTAGAAAATATGCCCATGTAAGCCAGATAACCTTAAAATAAATTTTCTCTATTAAAAATTTGTTTTGTAATTAAGATAATCACAAGATAAGATAATTTGTTATGAAAAATGTTGAAGTAAAGAGTTTAGCAACAATTAAACGATATAAGTACTCTCAAAATTCTCACAATAGCAAACACGTTTCGTCTGTGTAATCTCCAATACATTTGAAAGCTTAAAGATTAAACATTACAACTAAGTGAAGCTTTACATGCATGTCAGGATATGAATGTTGTTCAACTTGACCGCTGTTTTAAAAAGTAAAAACTTACAATCAATCACCATTGTATATATTTTTTAACCCCAATAAATTGCCACTTCTAAAGCGTTTTTATTCTTTTCAAAGGATCTAAAAACCTCTGTTACTATTGTCTTGATACACGGAAGCAGAAGAAAAAAATGAAGCAGATGAAAAAAGTTAGACGTGAAATGAACATACCTGCCCTGTTATCCACATGAAAAATAGTTTGGAAGCTTGCTTTAGTGATATGTCTATTTTACCCATTATTATGGGTAATAAACCCAAGAACCACAAAAAGTACTGCACAAAAGTTTGCAAATAATTATGTAATGATAGATCAATAAAAGAAATTAATAAAGTTTTATAACCTGGGATGTGCAAACTTTATTATACGTCACAAAAATACAAGTCTGTAAAAAACAGGCGAATGTGACATCCTTGCAGTATTTAAAAGCAATGATTATTGTCAACAAAATCTGTAAAATACATTTGTGCTTCATGAAGTTAATACGTGATACGTCAAATTAACTAAAATTATAAATTAGTTACAAATAGGGCTGTACCGAATTTGACTTTTTCGAATCCGAATTAGCAAACATAAATCCGTTAGGTCCTGGGCATGACATAAAACTGCATCCATGCTGCCTTGCGTGCTTTTGAGCAAAAGGCTAGGCCCACCGCTTATAACTGGTGGTTGTCGTCAGGATGGGTGTCCGGATGTAAAAACTTTTCCCCAAATTATCCCTATGCCATCACAAAAAAATAGCGGCCCCTAGTCCCCAGCAGGCCTTAAGTGGTCAAGGGGTGCCAAGAATCCCTGGGAAGTATGCAATAGCGGAGGGATGATGCAGAAAAATTCAGAATGGCCCCTTTATGGTACTTAGACTTGGAACGCTCAATGTTGGATCACTGACTGGCCACCACATGGAAATCGCAGAAATGATCGAGCGTAGAAGGATTGACATCTGCTGCCTTCAGGAGACCCGATGGAAATCGAATGGTGTTTGTCATGTCAACTCAGACAAAGAAAAATATAAACTATTCTGGAATGGTCAAAAGACGGCCAAAAATGGTGTTGGAATTTTTGTCAGAGAACCGCTTGCCCAAGAAGTACTGGATATTAAAAGGATTAACTCACATCTCATGTGGATCAAGCTTCGCCTGGAAAAGCAAACAATGATTATTTTTGCTACATACGCACCACAGACAGGCGAATCAGAAGAGATGAAAAACGACTTCTGGGCTGCGTTCTCTGACACCATCTCAACAATACCAAAATCTGAAACAATCCTGATTGAAGGCGATATCAATGGTTTTGACAACGTGCATGGCGGTTTTGGCTATGGAGAACGAAATGAAAATGGCAACCACATCCTTGAATTTGCTGAAAGTCACGGGTTTCGTTTACTGAACACATATTTTAGAAAGAGGTTGGAACATCTCATAACATACAAAAGTGGACCATCAGCCACGCAAATTGGTTTCTTCGCTGTCAAGCAACAACACCGAAGGCTATTCAAAAATGTCAAAGTTATACCTGGCGAATCATGTGTCGCCCAACATAGACTCTTTGTGGCAGACCTGGTTGTCGAACTGTCAAAACATAAGTCTAAACAAATGCCCTGGAGAATCAAAACGTGGAAGCTGAAAAGCAATATTTATCGAGAAAAATTTCAACAGATTGTCGCAACCCAGTTAGACCACCAATCGCAAGCCAGTACAGAATGGAGTACATACAAGACCGTTTTGATAAACGCTGCAACTACAGTTTGTGGGAAAACTGGTACAAAACGCCAGCATGAACGGGACACTTGGTGGTGGAATGACAGTGTACAAAATGCAATAGCTGAAAAGTAAGCTGCATACAAGAGATGGCAAAAATCAAAGTCTGTTGATGACCATAAACTTTTCCGTGAGAAGAACAACTATGCAAAACGTCAAGTCACACTGGCTTGGACAGATCAATGCAAAGAGTGGCTCACTAAAAGCAAAGGTGAACAAATGAAATCTCTGTATCGTATAGCAAAACAAGCAAAGCGTACGAAAAAAGACATAGTTGGTGCCTTATGTATCAAAAACGACAAAAATGAGATGGTTTTTGAACAATATGAGATCAAACTACAGTGGAGAGAATAATTCAACCGTCTGTTAGATGAAACAAATCCCATCAATGTCAACTTTGACGCTCCACCCATCGAAGGTCCGATTTCAGACATCACTGTAGAGAAGCTCTGAAAGCTATGAAGGATGGAAAGGCAGCAGGGCCCTCTGGACTCACAAATGACATTATCAAAGCATCTGGTACTGCAGACATCCAAACGTTACTACAACTTTGCCGTGAAATCTGGAAAAATTGCTCAATGCCGACTGAATGGAACTATAGCATGACAGTCCCGCTATACAAACGCAAAGGTGATCCATTGAACTGTTCATCATATCGGGGTATACGTCTGTTAGAACATTCCCTGAAAATTGTCGAGAAAATCATTGAGAGAAGATTAACGTCGTGCATCACAATCGGAAATTATCAATTTGGTTTTATAGCGGGGAAATCAACAATTGATGCAATTCACATCCTTCGGCAACTGCAAGAGAAATACCTCGCAAAGCATCAACAACTATCACACATTTTTGTAGACCTTGAGAAAGCATTTGATCGAGTTCCCCGAGAAGCAATCAGGTGGAGTCTACGTCGACAACTCATTCCAGAATATCTTGTTCGACTTGTGATGGAAATGTATACGAATACTAAGACTCTCGTCAGCACAACGGTTGGAAACACAGATGCATTTGACATTGGCGTTGGAGTTCACCAAGGCTCGATTCTCAGTCCACTGTTATTTATATGCTGATAATATCGTTTTAACGGCCACGTCTGAGCAGAATGCAGCACATATGTTTGAAGATTAGAACACCAGACTCGACGATCATGGATTCAAAGTCAACACCAGCAAAACCAAAGCAATGAACACCGGTGAACCCATTCAATCCACAGCTACTGGACGATGGCCATGTTCAGTTTGTAAAGCTGGTGTAGGTAACAATTTAATCAAGTGTCAGCAGTGTAACCAGTGGTGTCACAACGTTGTTCAAAAATAATTGGTACTTTATCTAAAGTTTCCAACTTTGTTTGTCCTGCTTGCATCAATCCACAACAACAAATTCGAAATAGCAATGTTTTTGAAGCCATTAAGGTAGAAAAAGTCACATCGTTTCAATATCTAGGGGTTATTCTTGATTGTACCTGTAACAGCTGAAGCTGCCGTTCGAGCACGCATACGTGCAGCCTGGAATAAATGGCATTTCTTTGCCTCTATATTGATGCGGCGTGACATCCCACTACCACTACGATCAAGACTTTATAAATCTGTGATACGTCCGGTGTTGTTATATGGTGCAGAAACATGGCCAATGACAACCAAACTGGAACAACAACTTCAACGAACCGACATGAAAATGTTCCGATAGATGCAACGAATTAGTCTAAAGGACCACATCAAATCTACCGAAATCCTGCGTCGTGCTGGTTTAGATGATATAAAGGACGAATGCCTGCAACACCGTTTGAGGTAGTTTGGTCATGTCAAACGAAGTGGAAACAGTGCCATAACTTTTCTTGCAGATGTTGAAGTACCTGGCACATGTCCCAAAGGCCGTCCAAAGAAGTCTTGGTCGCAAACAATCGAGCAAGACATGAAAGCTCTAAATTTATATGAAATGGATGCAACTGATCGTCTAATTTGGCGCAAAAAGTTGATGGCAAAGAAAACAACGTCCTACCTGGGAAAACTGGGTCTCTGGACGCTAAACGAAGATTGATTGATTGAAATCCGGTTGGGGCTAGGTTGTTACATCGGATAGCACATTTAAATCTTGTGGCTATGGTTTCATTAGCTTAGTCCAAGCTATTCAATCGCAATTCTTCACGCTTCATACCATTTTGCATTTATACAATACGATCGGTGATTAATTATAATTAATAAACACGTTAACGTGTGTAACAAGTAACGTTAGATGTGCAAACGCGTTTACCTGAATGTACACACGCACACAAACATATATTCAAAATTAAGACAAATAGCCCGCAAAAATTCTGCTATTCTGCTCAATTTTAGCGGGAGCAGAATTCGAGCCGAATTTGAAAAATAATGGTAAAGCCCTAGCTTTAAAATATCTAAAAACTAAATTATATTATGAAAGGATATCTTGAAAAAGTTTCACCCTCATTTGCAACTTAAATTATTTGAAATAGTTAACAAAAAGTTTAATCAATTGTTGAAAACTTTTATTATACGAATATTGCCCAATACCTGAGGTAAGAATCCAACCAATGAAAGAAATAAAGGATGCTTTTCACTACCTGTGTCACCAATAGTTAAGTACATTAGATAGAAATATGGAGAAAAATTATGTTTTATATCCTTTCTGAAAATGTGATACAAATACGTTTCGTAGATAAACTCCACCCCATAACTGAAAAAAATTTAAGGAATAGATATAGGAATAACATTTACAAGAATATTTACGAATGTCAAAAATAAATAAAACATATTAAAAAAACTTTTGAAGTCTTTTAATTGAACTTAAAAGAATAAATTTATTTTTACATTTGATCCGTCAAATAACATTTACTTTGAACAAATAATTAGAAAATATAGAGTAGTTACAACATCAATTTGTAATTTAAAAAAAAATACAATGCTCTTAAAAAAGAAGAATAACTAGTACACCAGAGTTGCACTGTGTAACATCCCACGTTTTTAATTCCAAATTGTTAAAACTTCTTGATATTTTCTAATATTTTTGACCAAGTAAATATTATTTGATGTATCAAATTTAAAAATTGCTTTTTTCTTCAAAGTTGAAAAAACTTTGAGTATTTTGTTTTATTTTTTTTAGTCTTGTATTTTGATTGAAATTTAAGACTTCAAATGATAAGTACTAATATCGTAGTATCAACATTAAATTTATTAGATAACATTTAATATTTTAATTTAATATCACAAATATTATAGTCTAAGGTGTTTTCAATAACAGAAAAAGTTATATTTAATATTTTCAGTCATTTCATTTATATCACTACATTATTTATTAATTTCATTTATTCAACTAAATTGTTAGATGCTTCAGAAACCAGTTAAAATGACAAAAGGGCTTGTTCTACAACTTGTGTGTTGCGATCAAGCTCTTAAATGCTTAAATGGTTGCTAGGATGAAAATTTTTTCAAAACCAACTTTTTAATCTACTCTAATTTTTAAAAAATAATTTTTCTGGTTTGAAGGTATTAAAATAAGCTTTCTCTTTTTTTTACAGAAAGGCAGAAAAATAGATTTCATCAAAATTGAAACACCTTAAACTAAATTTTGCAATAGTTCAAAGTTAACAGTTATGGAACAGACAGAAGCCAGACAGAATCAAAAGCAAGTAAAAATTTAAAAAAATACATAACATTGCATAAAACATCCATGTGAGGAGGGACATTACAGAGCAAGCAGATAATGCAAACAGGATGCATTCTTTGCTTGGTACCATCATCCTGACATATGTTTCAGTTGTTCCAATTGGAGATAACTTTTTTTCCATGTCAGATGTTCTGCTTTTGTAGTTGGCCGTTCTCCAATTAATGTAGAAATAAAGAGATAATGAATATATAACTGGATATATTTTTAAATGAATGGCAAGCCCATAGAAACATCCTGATGCACAAACATCTAAACAATTTAGTTTTGGCTTAGTTAAAAAATAAAGAAACAAAACAACGAAGACAATAATAACAGAGTCAGCGCTGCCTCTACTTGAAATGATAAGGGACAAAGGATTGAACAACCAAGTGCACAAATATAAGGAGACATTTCTATAATTTGACTTGGAACAATTTTTCAAGATTAAATAAGAAATTAATGCCACCATCAAATCACAAAGGCAGAAAAAAAGCTTTCCAAAAGAATAATTCAGAGTATGATTGAGCTGCATAATGATGGCCAGCAATGGTGTGTATCTGAAAGTGGACCTCTTGTATGGAGATTCATTCTGTGGGAGCAAAACATTTTTTTATATATTCATAATTCAAAATATTATCAATGTTATCAATTGAATGAATAATATTGAACATTTCATGCTATTTCAAAATACTAGTATGCTGAATGAATGTACAAACTTGAAATGAATGTACAACTGAACAAGTATCAGAACTTATTATAAACTTTTATGTAATAAAGGTTGCAACATCCACACCACATGACACACAAAAATAACTATTATGCAATTATGCATTGAGTTATATACACATTAAACTAGGTCAGCACACAAGAACAACATTGAACATGGCACTTATATTAAAAATAATTATACTTATTACACCATTATTTTTTTTCAATACTGAAACAATACTAATTGCTATAAAAAGAAATAGTAGCTAGTACAAAACTTAATTAACCACAGAAACTACAATTTACATATGTCATATAACTATGTAATATAACATAAAATAAATAACAAAACTGTACATCTAACTCTAATTTATGACAACTACAACTACACCAAGCCAAGATGAGAGTTGGCACAAGATAAGATTTAAAACTTAACTTAAATTAACTTAAATTTTAAGTTCTTTGATTCAATCATTCACTGGTTCACAGACAACACAAAGTAAAGGACCACAAGAGAAATAATTTATTAATTTAATGATATTGTATATGATTGATTATAATTGTGCATTATAATTTTATATATACATTAAAATAAAATATTGTACATGTATGTATTGTATTGTATACAATTATACATTGCACGTGTATATGCATATAAAATTGCTAAAAAATATCATTGCATTTTTTAGCTATGATCAGTTTCTGGTTAATAAAAATTAAAAACAGTAAATTAAATCGAAACTATAAACCACCTTTAGCACAAACTCGCCAGCATCTGTAAAAACAGCATAATCGATGTCAGTATACTTGACTGTCATATTACTATCTTGCCAAAGCCCAAAAATAACCAAAAAGACTCTTATCAGGAATGCCAAAATAAAAAGGTAAAAATGTTGGAGAAAAAAAAACATTGTCAGCTCAGCAAAAAAAAAACACGGTAAAATCGGAGACCTGTTGTGGGTATTTCCGTGTAGTAGTTATTATTAGTTAATAGTTTAATTAAATAATCCATATATAAGCCCTCCTCTATGGATACGCTTAAATGTTAAATCGATAATTAATTAAATGTCATTCGTTTCAAAATAAAAAAGGAACCATCAATAATTTATTTATATTAACAAAATCAACATAATATATTAACAATAATCATAAAGATAATAATGACACTAATTATAGTACTCTGGGTTTGAATCAACACATGGTACTTTGTGTGTGGGGGGGGGGGAGTAGTGTAATTTTCTAATCTTTTTTTTAATGGCACACTTGCATTATATGCTAATTACCACTTAGCAGCGCATATGTTAATTGCCACTTAAAATCATAAACTTTTTTATACTAGCTACTGGACAGAAAACTGAAATGTGTGCTTAGCCGAGCCTGGTCCATGCATTTCATGCTATATACCATGCACTTATAATACCATCGTAACAATGTATGATATTTTTCTTTGCATAAAATTTGAACAAATCACAAAATCTTTTTGATAATTGATAAAAAATTAAGATTTAAAAATAATTAAGAAACTTTATTAACTATAATGTCAATGATAATTGCTATGATCGTTACCATTTATACCACACCGGACAATAAAAGTTAAATATGCAAAAAAATTATGCAAATCCATGAAATAAAATTATTGAAAATAATCAAAATAAAAATTTAAAAAATGAAAAAATTATTATAAAATTATTAACTATCAACCAATCAGTCAGTCGATCGGTCGGTCCATGGAATTATATAATTATATAATTCAATGGGTCGGTCGGTCAATCAATCAATCAATCAATCAATCAGTCAGTCAGTCAGTCAGTCAGTCAGTCAGTCAGTCAGTCAGTCAGTCAGTCAGTCAGTCAGTCAGTCAGTCAGTCAGTCAGTCAGTCAGTCAGTCAATCAATCAATCAATCAAT